TTTTCAGGTAGTCTGCAGAATTATGGTGGAAATGTAGGGTGGGGAGAGAATGGGAGAGCTCCTGCCAGAATGAACGAGGATGGTTTTGGCCTTCAGAAACACCATCTGGGCTGACGATAGTTATGTCGTAAAACATGTACAAACCTAGCAATGCCTGTTTAATACCTAGTGGTGTTGGAACTGGTATATGTGGAAGTTTTAAGTCTGTAGCCTATTCCTGTGGCACTTAACATCTGTTGCCCGAACTGGCTATAGAGAACAAATGCATGCAAGTGTTGTTTACTCTGTGGGCACTTTCCACAGAAGGCTCGTCTATGCAGCACACTTCTTTTTCCCAAGGAGGAGTTGCAGTGGCTTCATTAAAGGAAGCAGGTCCCCTCATCGTGAGCATTCTTCACAAGAGTTTTTCTGTTTCTGGAATTCTGAAAAAGCGGAACTGGAAATCAGGCAGGTAGCAGTGCTACACTTCAGAACTGTGATTCCAGGTATTCTCTTGGAGTCTACAGATGGAAAGATGTTCTCAGTGGCCAGGGGCTATTACTATTAATGCTGTTATGACTGTTTCCCTCTTTTTCACTTTACTGAGCCGTTTCTTCTGACTTCTTTTTGTTCCTCTGTGTGTCTCCCCCACCCAGACGTTAAAATGTATATAGATGTATTCTGACCCAGCCTAGGAAGCTGAGGAGCTGAAAACCCCTTCGTTGGTATATGTCTGAATTCAGCACACAGGAGGCTGATGTTAATTCACAACACATAAACTGTTTCACTTTTATGAGGAAATGGTCAAACACTGTCAGGGAGATTTGTGGTTTAAACTGGGCAGGTGAAAAGACAACCGGAACGAGGGGAACTTTGTCTAACTGTATACAGTAGATAGCTTATCACAAAAATGTGGCTGTTTTGTTCTATCAACATGTGTTCATAACTGTTGAGAGAGATCACTTAGCTGTCACTCCTCAGGTAAATAGGCATACATTTATTTGACACAAAATTGTTAAAGTCTGTGGAGGCAGGAATATAGACAAAAGGTTCCAGTTTTGCTTCTTTAACACTTGATATGGATCACCCCCCTTTCCTAGGAGCTATTTCCCTCAGGGAAGGACTACTGGTTTCCCTTCTCTGTTTCAGGATCCTCCTTGGTCCTTCACTTTTTTTCTTTGTCTACTCCTCCCACCTTCCTTCCTAACTGCCACTCTCAACCAGTGTTCCCTCTAAGCTGAGTTAGTGTGAGCTAGCTCACAGTTTTTTAGTCTCCGGCTCACACATTGTTGTCTTAGCTCAGGAAGGTTGGTTCCAGAGCAAACTAATTTATGCAGCAGCCAAATTGCTTGCTCACAAATTTAAAGCCAGTAGCTCTCAAAGTAGAATTTTTGCTCACAAGACCCACAGCTTAGAGGGAACATTACTCTCAACTGCCACTCCCTCCAGTCAACAGTTCATTTTGAACCCCCTGTCAGTCAGGGTTCTCAAACCAGTATAAGGCATCTGCAAGTAGCTGTCCGTCAGAGCTGTGTATAAAGAGGAGATCTAAAATGGCTGCAGAGTGGTTGACTTTACCAGAATAATCTCCTGTGACTTGCATCTACTTTATTGTAACGTCATTGTGCCATCAAATATTGGTGCTCATTTTTCAGACTTCTAAGTTGTTGCACCGGTGTTCTGTAGTGTACATTGGTATTAACAAATATCTTTCCCTGTGTACGTTGTAAGGGTAAACACAAACTTGGATGTACACCCAGGCCCAAAAAATTCCTTAGCTCTCGTTTTCCGTATGCAGCCCACAATATCCAGCTGAAGGCCTCACTTTTTTATTCCCTCCAAATGAAAGTAGATAGGAACCTGTATTGTTGGTTTGCTGCCAAAAACTTCTGGCAAGAGGTTCTAAGGACTACTGTAGTAGGCCCATGGGCTTGTTATGCAAGGCCAAAGTAGGATTTCTTTTTTGCTTTGAAAAACAGTTTTCTCATATCATATTGGAAACCTGCATTTGAAGCTTACGTCATTTTCAGAAGTGAAATACGTAGTAGAAAGCTATCGAATTGGAGGCTGTATATAAGATTAATGTGAATGACCATCACTGAAATAGGCCCAAATTGTAGGTAGTCATGTTGATTCATTTAAAACAAAATTACAAAAGAAGAAGAGAAGAGAAGAGATTGGATTTATACCCCGCCCTTCACTTGGAGTCTCAGAGCGGCTTACAACCTCCTTTCCCTTCCCCTCCCCACAACAGACACCCTGTGAGGTGGGCGGGGCTGAGAGAACTCTGACACAAACTGCTCTTTTTCAAGGACAGCTGTGCCAGAGCTTGTGACTGACCCAAGGTCACATCAGCAGGTGCAAGTGGAGGAGTGGGGAATCAAACCCGGTTCTCCCAGATTAGAGTCCGCACACTTAACCACTACACCAAACTGGCTGTGTGAATTTAGTGTGAATTTTTTTTTGTTTCAGTCAGCTTATCACAAAATTATGAGTTCAGGCTTTTGAGTTCCCCAGAACTCTTAATCAAGCTGGACTTAAGTACAAAAGCATGTGTATGGGTGGGGGCGGCGGAGGGGGGGGAATGTTTGAGGGTATGTTGGCAGAAACCAAAAGTGTGTACTTTGTGGCTTCCTTAAAATTAGGCTTGCTAGCTCTGAGTTGGGAAATACTTGGAGATTTGGGGGGGTGGAGCCTGGGGAGGGAAGAGACCTCAGCAGGGTATAATGCCATAGACTCCACCCTTCAAAGCAGCCATTTTCTTCGGGGGAACTGATCTTGATCATCTGGAGATCAATTGTAATGGAGGGAGATCTCCAGGTGCCATCTGGAGATTGGCAACCCTACTTCAAATGGAGACCCAAAAGATATTGCGAACTTGATTAGGTTACATGATCCTGATTCAAATAATCAGGAATTGGATTCAGGATACTCTTAAAGTTTCTGGGATGAAGAAACAAAAATAGTTTCTCCTTTTGAAGATGTATCTCACACTCCGTGGGCCATCTTCGATGGCGTAAAACCGGAGAATTTGAGGCTCCCCTCCACCCTGATGGTCCAGCCGCTGCGTGGCCTTCGGGCACAAGCTGGTTTGACTGGGGCAAGCGCTGGAGATCGAGCGGAAGATCGTTAAAATGCAGCGTGGTCAGAGAATCTGACCGACAATGAACGTGAGT